TCGTTCAGAGGAAGAATTTGACAGTCCTCAAACTCCGTGGGGTATGTTGTTGAGATCAGGCCCACTCATCGATCACACACCATGGAATGGCTAGTATTAGGCAAGTGTAACCGACAGGACAAGCGACCCTGCGTCAATGATACGTCATCAGCACACAGCAATGACAACACCAGTATCTCAACCATACATGACAATATGATAATATGACGCAGGTATATTTAATGACATAGTTGTTGAGTGGCTGAATGGTTGGGAGTTATTGCTATTGGTGGTATATTTTATGTATTGTCTGCGTATAAATACTCACTGCTAGACCTCTGTACATAATTAACCTTTTCCACTCTTATATTCAATAGTCATCAACATAGCAGATCTACAAAACTTGTCCGTCTTCTTCACGTTAGACTTAAAGCGCTATCCTATATCCACCCAAGTTGACTGTTACACCCATTGCGACAATTCTTAGACTTCTCATAACCTCGTTATTACAATTGATGTCGGATGAATGAGGAATCTCTTTAACAATTTAGACTGACCCGATCAAATGTCATGGCTAGATAGCTGCAAAGGCAATTAGAATCTGATGCAGAAAAGAAAAAATAGGATCCATCTTTCTCTGCATAAGTGCGTGACGGACTTTCAGCATAAAGTATCTGGTATTGTAGTCGAAGTGTGCAAAATCAAGGCCGAAAAAAGTTCAGATCCAATATTCGTATTGATTAATTTTAGAGGAGCTTTGGGCAGTTGTGATTTAAGAGGAGGGATAGATAAGGATCCCGGATGGCAAGACTGAACACCTGTACGCAGTGTCCTTTACGAACCTGGGAGTGAAATATTCTCCCAGAGCCAAGTTCAGTCAAATTTCGCAATATCAAAGAAGTTGGCCCACGAGGCAATGACTCAAAATACTCCACCACATCTATTTTTCGCTCCCAACGAGTTTGACTCCTACCTAAGCCTCATCAAGCCTACAAGTACGACCAAGTACGTCCTCATCCCAATGACCACACCTCTCATCGACTTTCTCTGGCCTCAGCCGGTCGCCAAATACACGCCCACGCCGATATTTACACCCGACGGAGGAAGCAAAGCGTGTCGCACATATCTAGGAGACAGTTCTTTAGGATGGACGTGAGAGGGATTAGGACAAGTTCACAAGATGGTGCAAAGGAAGGATATAACTTCGATGGGCGTGAATTTTGGAATTTTTGGCAAGGAGTTTTACGAATTGAGTTTTGTACGCGCCAAGACTTCGCTTGCGAGAGTGTAGCTGACACTATAAAAACAAGCCAACGATGGAAGGTGTCGTCGTCCGCCTCCTGGTGGTATTCTCTGGTATAGTTTGAGTAGCCTGGGCATCTACTCCACTTGGGAAAGAGATACCTCAGATTACATTTCGCGCGGAGAAAATTTGAAAGATGATGGAGGCATGTCTGGATAACTCAGGGATTTTGAGACGTTCCCCTGGGTGGGTATTGTTGTGCTGGCTCGGTTGAGTTGTTCGGAGACAGGGGAACGGAGGATGGGCTGCTGGATTAGGAAAGGGTGGAAAATACAGGCTGGTGCACAGACGCTGTTCATGTACTTTACAATCTCTTTGTCAACCTAACCATGACCTGCATCCAAAGCGATGTGAAACCGACAAGAAAGTACATTTAACCCTGCGGGCTAAGTGCGCCAAGATCTCACGTGAGACATACTGAGCTCTTAACGTTTTACCTGACGTTATCTGTGAAAATATCCTGTAATTGTTTGTATTCATGTAATCATGTACGAGTCGTATTCCTGTAACTATCTATATTCGTGTTGTCTACGACTCGTAAACTTGTACTAGTATTAGTCGCTCCTGACAGTTGCTGTTTGCGATATTGGAACTAATCGTGTTATTACTTCATACTTAGGACTATTTGACACATTAAGCTTGCACAATAGTATGGGGAGATTATATTGTCTGTACGTGGGTGATCGGATGAACTTGTATTTAAAGAGAGATGGAATACTTCATAAGAATCAATCAATCACATTTCTTTACTCTGAGATAAACTTCTTAGTCCCGATTTATCAACACTCTTCAACTGCCGAGTTTAGTTAATTAATCTATCCAAATAATATCTTACTTCACATCATCCATTAGATGATTTTATCAATCATTAGATGATATTATCAATCTTCGGGATGCACATCTAGCATCACCTTCATAGATTACCATCGTCAGTAAGAGTTCATATTTGATACCTACTGACACCCATTTGGCCACAGTGATACGCACTCAGTGTCCATCGTGCCATCACCCAGCGTGAGCGAGCCATCTCCGCGACTCACCATTGCACATGAGCACGTGTAACTCCACCGACGGACAGCAGAGACATAATTTCTATATATCTCACAGCTTATAACCACAACAGGTATTCATGGATGAGGGTTGACTTGGGGTGAAGAAAAAGCCACCATAACTTTGCAGTGGTACTTGCAAATGAAATCTGAGGCATAAGTGCACTTCCTTTACGTTGAATCATCTATTCTGTACTTTTCTTTGATATTGTGTCATAGCTAGATAGTTGCATACGCAATTAAAATCTGATGCAAAAAAAAAGATGAAGATCCCTGATGAAATAACTCATTAACTTTTTTGTAAATCATTTAACATGTATTCAGCTATAAAGCTATGACACATGACCGGTGCTATGTATACATGTAGGATGGCTCTTTTGAAGTTAGAGACACTCATGCTCTGTATTTCATTTGTAAATTCCACTAAGAGATATGTCTGTTTACATAAACAGTCGACCCTGCTCCGTGAGTACCCACCAAAGGGAATCTCAAAACCTTTGGTTATCCAAGCATGCCTTTGTCATCCATGCATACCGATTCCGCGAGAAATGTGTTTGTGTTTTGCCGGATTTGAACCAGCGATCTACTGTCTCGAGTGGGATATGTGTCCAAGCTATCCAGACTCTACTTGGCAGACCGGCCAAGACGATGTGCCGCCACACCCCATCGCGGCGGCACTCTTGCGTTGCCTGTACTCAACCTATTGACTTTAATAAGTAGAAACAGCATGAATTGAGACTAGAAAATATGTATACAAATTTTTGAAATCTCTGGGAGTTAATATTTATTTGGCCCCATTTACTCCTAGTCCACCCAGTTTGATAGATATTCACAAATCCAACTGCCTCAATAAATAACACAGTTTGTTTGTGTTTGTTTTATTGTACTACTTGAGTCTATGACTATCTAGCACATTAGGCTCCTCTCTGACCTAGGCCACACCTTGTACAGTGCTCTTTGCCTCTTTTGTTACTTGAAAGATCATTGATATATTCCCCTTGATGAATAGCCATTCAGCTGAGTGTTTACCCGTGGAATTCGGCCACCTTTTCCACGGAACCTTCTACCCAAAAAAAAAAACAAAAAAAAAGGTAGCAATGGAAACTGCGTGCGCGAGAAAAAGTCTCAAAAAACCTGCAGCCCCAGCCAGGCGAGGCCTAGACACCGGGACCACATGAGGTGCGCATATTCTTCTATATCTCCCTTCTTTGTAACAGTCGAGGTCGACTTGATCCAATCCACCATCTCTGTATCGGGTGCTGGGTACGCTCCGGAAACTCATCGGATGGCTTCTCCTCCATGATCAAGGGTTGGTGATGAGTAGGACTTCGACCCTACCATCTAATCTGATCGTAGTTAGCTTCATTATAATTGTGAAAGGGGAATGTGTTGAGAGATGAAGACGATACAGACGGCGTAAGCAATTGGGAATCCCCATCGAAGTGAGGACTTTGTCACTCAATTTCGGCTCTGCAGACTCTACAGTGAGAGCTGGAGGTTCGTAGGGGACACCGCTGACAGGTGTTGAGAATAGTCCCCCGATAATCCCTAGTGAATGATAGCCGATAAGTGATGGAGCGAGGTCTTGTATGCAAAAAGCGCAGTTTCCCGATCAATCTTGAAGGCGGGCTTCTTTGTGGTAGGACTGAGTTGGTGGACTCTTACGAGAGTTGTATGACCGACATCCGTGAGAAATAGTTGATTGAAGAGGTGTTTGCGTCTGCTTTTGGCTTGGGTGTACAAGCGGATTTTCTACACTTTTTTAGAAATGCGGAGCATACCAAATGTTACGTCAGCACCGCTTAAAAAGGAAGGAGCTGTCCTTGCCGGTATTAGATATTTTTAACCATTGATATTACTTGATTGTATTAACAGGCCGCCTTACCCGATCTTTCCACTTTAAATCACTGAAACCTCTCAAAGTTCATGTGTTTTTTATGATCAGACGTAGAATCGCGCATTGCCCTTTGATTAATTTAGATTTGTGGAGCTGAGCCTGGACTAGTTAGGGCAAGGTTATTATCAGCGAAGGGGTAGGAGAATGGACATAAATAGCACAGATCTAGACTAGATTTGATCAGAAAGCATAGGGTGATGAGCACGGTTTGTAGAAATATTTAGCAAGAGAATATCGTAATCTAGCTTTTAGTTAAGACATGTAGTATGCTGAACTCCTGTTTGCGTGTCCTATTTGAATGGAATGATTAAGAACGAGTTAATAGGGAATTTCCATGATGTGAAGGTGAGAATAATATTTAACATATCTTTTGCAATTGAGAGAGTGTAGGACTGCACGTACTATCGAAACTAAAACAGCATTGTTCATTATGCATACCGGGATATTTGCTTAGGGTCAATGAGTCAGCGATCCAAACCACTTCGTGTGCCAGCTTCAACACCCACAGCTTCGATGATGACAGGCAACACGAGCTAGAGGCCGACTGTGTAGTGTAGAGACCACGTCGATCGGTAAAAAGAATATGCAAACCATGCCCACACACTACCGTCATCTGAATGGTTCATTCTCCAGATCGTTCGAAACTTAATTGCACGTGGTACTATTTAGCATGGGCTAAAGGCTCTTTACATTAACTTTCGTTACATCCAACTTACGTTCTAAACCGCACTCCTTGGCATCAACACAGTCGTTTCCTATACCCACCTACGAGATGTCGCCAACTCCTCAGTGGGTTAGAGATTTGACCTCCTCTGAGCCCCAGGGGAGTGATCTTCTGGAGAAGGAGAGAAATAAATCCAATATCTCCGTTGAAACGCTATCAAAATTCCTCTTTACAACTGAAGCATTAACCCGTCGTGAAGAAGTTTTAAAGATTCTCAGGGCAGAAAAAATTTTCAATAAAGCGCAAAACTATTTTGATGGACGGGTGGATAGATTTAAAACGGCACTGGCAAGAGCGAAGAGATTACGACAACTACAAGTCAAGCACGAGTGGACTAGAGACCAGCTTATGGATGCATCATATCTTATAAGTGAACCTGGTCCATACGCACTCCATGCAACTATGTTCATTGTGAGTTTTCTCGGCGCCTTAATAAGCTCCACTGATTCTCTAGACCACTCTTCGCGATCAGGGCACACCAGAGCAGCATAAACTTTTCCTCGAGCCCGCCCAGAACTACAAATATATTGGCTGCTATGCCCAGACTGAACTAGGTCATGGATCAAACGTCAGAGGGCTAGAAACTACGGTCATGATGCCTATTCGAATAATTTTTACAAACACTAAATTTTAATTAGGCTAAATGGAACCCCGAAGATCAAACATTTACGCTTCACACCCCACATCTCACGTCTTCTAAATGGTGGATAGGCTCCCTGGGAAGAACAGCAAATTATGCAGTCGTAATGGCACAACTGATAATCGGGAAAAAGTCATTCGGTCCTCACCCGTTTGTTTGTCAGATTAGAGATTTGGTAACCCATGAGCCACTTGAGGGCATTCATGTTGGAGACATCGGACCCAAGTTCGGATATAACACGATGGACAACGGATTTCTTCTTTTCAACAGAGTCAAGATTCCACATATCAATATGCTAGCTAAATATTCACGTGTCGACCCCATTTCAAATAAGTATGAGCGACCAGCCTCTGCCTCTTTGATCTACGGAACGCTTACCTGGGTACGATCAACAATTGTGTTAGAGTCTGGCGGCGTCCTCGCACGCGGTGTGACTATTGCACTTAGATATTGTGCAGTACGATGTCAGTTTCAAGATCGGGATTCTCCCTCTGATTCCCTTGGTGAAAATCAGGTTCTAAATTACACAATGGTTCAGTATAGACTATTGCCACTTCTTGCTGCAACATTTGCCTTACACTTTACCGGGAAAACTATGATGAAATTATACAATGATAACCAAAAGAAATTGAAGGGAATGGCGACAAGCGCAAAGGATGAAGGTCGCGGGGCAGGTCCAGAGCAGACTCACTCTGGCAGTGACCTACTTGCTGACCTTCACGCCACTTCTTGTGGCTTGAAGGCGCTGGGTAGCACCGTAGCTGCCGAAGGGCTAGAAGTAGCTCGAAGAGCCTGCGGTGGACATGGTTACAGCAGTTTCGCTGGAATAGGTGCATGGTACGCTGACTACCTACCTACTACAACGTGGGAAGGAGACAATGTGAGTTTTCGCGACCTTTTTGTTCAGAAAAATTACTAACATATAATTCAGTATATGCTGACCCAACAAGTAGCTCGATATGTGTGTATAAACTGATAACTAAAAAATTATCCGCTAACGGCTTGATAGCTTCTCAAGACAGCTCGGGCTGTGCTATCAGGAAGCCCTACTGACAATGATACGAGCAGTATTTTCAAGACATACTTGGAGAAACGAGACACTGGTGCAGCTCATGACATATTAGTTTCTGATAGTGACATTGTTGCAGCGTTTGCATGGCGAACGGCTTTTCTAACGTTTGAGGCTCTCAAACACAGAGATATTGAAAAGAAGTCATGGAACTCTTTACTGGTAGACTTCTGGCGCCTCAGCACAGCGCACTCGCAATACCTCGTGGTGAAAAACTTTTATAATGCCCTTCAAAGCGACAAGACCGTGGAGGAGCTCGACTCTACTACTCTAGGCGTGCTTAACAAGATTTTCAGACTCTATGCACTTGATACACTAGAGAAAGAGGCTTCAGAATTTTTTTCGTCAGCCGCTGTCACTATTAGACAAATTCAGTTGACAAAAACGAAGGCCGTAATGCAACTTCTCGAGGATATCAGGCCCCATGCCATAAGGCTTACTGATGCTTGGCAATTCTCAGATTGGCAACTTGACTCGTCTTTAGGGCGAAAAGATGGCAAGGCATACGAAGATCTCTTCTACAGAGCCAGTGAACTGAACCCTCTCAATGGCCTAACCGTTGATCCGTACCCGAACAGCGAAGTGATTGTTAAGAGAGATGAAACCTACGAGTTTAAAAGTAAGCTTTAGGGTAATAAAGAGTAATTCCAAACTATGTTCGTGCTAATTATTTATTTTGAAAATACAATCGACGCTGTTAAAGCAAAACCGGGTTGAAGGATTTGGGACAAATAAAAGTTCATCGGAGCCTTAATTGTTTTAACCCCAGGTTCTAGGCAATTTTCCCAGGTCATAAAGTGAGCGTGATAACACAACAGTTCTGCTGTAAAACGGTGCTGCTTGAAAATAGTTAAGCATCTAAATAATGCTGATGATATCAAAGGCTCTTCTGTATAATACTCTGGCTCTCAGTGTAGAATGAATACCATTATCAACATTCGTAAATTATCTAGGGGACTGAAATATATTATGGAAGAGTGAAGTGGCATGGAGCTAATCTATTAATTATTTACAAAAGCTACTAAGACAGAAGGCTATTATTTCAGAAGTGGAACGAGAGAAGAGATGACCTGAACCAGTTTAATACACTTGTGTGTAACTTTCACTTACCGTAATACATTCATTCTCTAAAATTCGCAACATTAGTCAAATCAGAGATCGTATGAAGATGTCAGATAAGCCACAAGAGAGAATTAATGCCAGAAAGCAGCCTGGACTAACATTTTTGTGCCGACTTATTCATAGGGAATCCCGTACACTCATTCGTGTTAGAGCTTCTCTATGCCAGCGTTGCATTGAATCTCAGCTCTATAGACTCTACGCTCGGAACTGTAGGTCTATAAAGCTCGCCGCGGATAGATGACCAGCCCGTTTCAAAAATTAGAGGAATAATTACAGGTTTCACAAAGATTTTGGGCGCAAGGGGTGCTAAACTTGACGGTGATGGAGGTAAAATTCATGATTCATGGTGATTATTTTGAAAATAGTGGATTGAAGCGTGATGCGCTAGAAATGAACATTGGCGATGACATTATGCGGCTGACGCTCCAATCCCAATTTGGTTGAAAAGTAACTGCTGTGCGATTTATTGCAGACCCCAGTAATATGGTTCAGACAAAAAGATGCCCGACGCCTCCGGCAGGTGCATGTTTGCTCGCGCGATTGAGCTTGGACGGAGTTATCACACAGGATTATGATCGCCAGGAGACCAACCTTACAAATATAGATTATGCAAAGATGGGTAATCAAAAATCAAAGAAGACGTCAGTCGTTTTGTGCAGCGCTGTGAGCCGTCAGCCAGCTGGTGGCGTAGTAGTATACACCCCGGCCCGACATACCACGTAGACTCTCGATAGATTAGACTCGTACCTCAACCCAAACGGTATTTGCGAATGATATTCAGAGCACATGTGTTTCTGAAGTCGAGAATCTCCCAATCCGTAGATGCGGCGCTGATCATAGGTCATAGCTAAAAAGCTGCAGACACAAAAAAGAATTAAAAATGAGCTGGTGCTTAGTCTTTTTCTCCACTTTGACATGCCTGTACCGTCTAAGACAATCATTCTTGTCATCAATGTCACGCGATCTACAATTGCCACCCTCTCTCATCCTCGGTTCGGCGGAATGCTGTAGTTTGGAGAAGTCGAGGTTTTCTTGTTTCATCACACTCAAGCTCGATTTCAAAGAAAATTCACGAACTCGGACACGGGCCGAGGGTAAAATAGCTTCGCCCGACTACAGAACTCAACGTTCTTTTACATGGTGGAAAAGAGGCGATAGAGAATATAATTTAGATTAGATGATATTATGGAAATAGACACATGGATGCCACATTGCAATCATTTGTATTGGAGAATAAAGGCAAAATTTCACGAAAAAGGGACGAAGGTGGAATCCCTCGATGGCTCCCGCACACAAATCTATCAAGTCTAGACTCATGAGCGAGCCCTCAGGGCGCTAAATTATGTCAAATACATTAAACTAAGGGTAACCATTTCCTAATCCACAATTTTCATCCTACCCACATCACATCACTTATTACACTTTCTACAAGAGCCACCAGCTGGTGCGATGTCCCCAGCTGTTGCATCGTCATCTACAACACCCTCCAACCCAGGAGGACAACCTCACCCAAGTCTGCTAGGTATTGTAAACGCTATGCAAAAAGCAGAACAGGAAAGAAAGGAAAGATTGGACAAAGTCCAGAAATTTCTTGAATTAACCGACTCCTGGGCTAAGAGAAAAGGAGAGAAGCAAGCAGCAGCAGTCGTCGCGACGCTGATAGAAAAGATAACGCCTGTTATAACTGTTTTTGCAGTAGATCAGGCAGAAACAAATCTCCCTCATAGTAAGAAATACCCCACCATGGCAAGCACTGCCAAACCAGTCGCACCTAGGAACAATACAGCTGTTGAGGATCACAGCCACGCCCTACCTTCAAAGCCTCAAGACACCAGCTCACCCTGGGTGACAATAGCCCGCAAAGCGGCCAAGCTACCGACGCCGCCAAACATGCAAGTTCCGTGAAGGCCTGCACCAGCAGGCAACCCGAAACCCAAGACAGTTCCAAAGGAGGTCGAGCGCTTGTTCCTAAGATTGAGGAAAGATAACCACTGGCACAAGTTATCACCAGTCACGATCAAGAAAATTATCACCGAAAAAGCTGGGATAGCAACTTCCGCTATTAAGTCCATGTACCCAGTCAGGTCGGGGATCGCTCTCGAATGCGCATCAGATGCATTGAGAGATACAATCATGAGGATTGCACCTTCCCTACAGGAAGAAAACACTGTGATCAAGGAAGCGTCCAAATGAACATCCTTGATCGTACCTCATGTGCTATTGTACATCAGGACGCTCGAAGGTAGCATTCCAGTCACCAATGATATGGTGAAGAACGAGTGCCAGGCTGTATGCGGCGCCACACCAATCCAGGTAAGGCCCACAGAAACAAAGCTTGGGCAATACTCAACGAGCTGGATTGTTCATTTCCAACAAAAACTAGCGAACACAAAGTTTCGTCTCTTTGACGAGAGCAGACCGGCAATCCACTTCTTACGCCGAAGGCCGATCGAACAATGCCAGCGTTGCTGGGGATTCCACACCACGCGTTCCTGCACCCGGAGCCAACGATGTGGACGATGTGGGGGAACTCACGAGACATCAGAGTGCCAGGCCAAGGTGATAAAGTGCCCGAATCGTGCTGGACCCCACCACTCAAATGAGGGTAGCTGTATGGCCCGGCCAAGACGATAACGGGATAATTCTGCCCCGTACCCCAGTAGAACTTCATATCATCAGAGAACGCGGACATCGTGATTATCACGCTACTCTAGCGTACTCAAAAAGGAAGGGTAAGGCGGTTGAAACCGTCATTGCCCAGGACTCAACAATGTCGTGTTAATGTTAGGAAACCCCTCAACAAAAGCACCAAAAGACAAACATAATACCGTCCACTTTCACCAAGTGAATGTCGGAAGGGGTAGGGAAAACACAGATATAGCATTGCAGCAGGCATGAGATGCCGGTGCACGTGTAGTCATGGTATAGGAGCCATGGACAAGAAAGAAAGAAGGGGGGTCTTACAACAAAAAGTCACCCTGGCTACGAGAGCCATATACCATTTGGAGGAACAAACGTCCGGCCCCGCGCAATTACTTTCAAGCGCAAAGGTAGTCATGCGACTCAACTATTTCCACCGTCATCAGGCCCGACATCTATCTACTGTTTTGTAAAGATGGGCGGTCTGACCTTTGTCAACGTATATCGTGCACCAGGCACTAGTGGAACCTTGGAGCCCCTACTCCGGTGGGAAGTCAGAGGACTAGTTGTTGAAGGCGATTTCAATTCTGTGTCTCAGCAATGGCAGCCGTTAACGACAAATCAGTACGGCAATGGTAACCAGATTATGGAATAGGCACCAGCCCACGACTTGGATCTAGTCAGCATTGTCGGAGAGCCGACGCACAGGGACGGAAACGTGCTGGACTTAACTTGGAGCAACACAGCCGCGATAGCATCAGTTTACACATGCTACCACTGTACCTCAGACTACTCGAATATCGAGGGTACCGTACTAAATCCTACAGGGTCAGATCTCTCTGGAATTGCAAGGAACATTCGAGTTAGTGACGCCAATCTTACGGAGTTCAGCCGATGTGTCAGCCAATGGACCAAATCTGGCCCTCTTAACAGTGTCATAGACATCGAAAATTTCACCAATGATCTCCTCCAAGCACTCGGAGATGCGCTAAAGATCGCGGGCAAGATTCCAGCCATGAAAAGCGGGAAAACCAGTCCCTGATGGAGGGGTGAATATCGCACTTAATGGCTGGATTACAAGGCAGTAAGAGATAACCTCGAACTTTCGTCTTAGGCACGGAAAGGCTTCAGAGCCGTGGTGCGAAAAGCCAAGCAGGAGTAATGGAAGAGGCAAGTGGAAGCAGTTACTACTGACGCACAGGTATTCAAGCCCATGCGATGGGCTAAGCCTCGACCAGCTTCTGAGCCCCCTCCTCTGCAGATTGACGGAAACCGGTGGCTATCTGACCCGCGAGAGAGAGCCAGTGCGCTACGAGACATTCTCCTGGCAAGGTTTGGCGGCGAGAACGACATCTCAACCTGGGATAACGGACAGGAGGAGCGCATCCCATGGGATACGAAAATATCACTTGATGATGTGACCAGCACTACTGTCCTTGTCAACGATGTAGCACCAGGCTCTGACAATATAACGGTACGTCTACTTAAAGCCTGTTGGTCCCATCTAGGACCTCTGGTCAAGGATCTCTACCAGGCCTGTCTGAATATCGGTCACATTCCCACGGCTTTCAAGGTATCAGAGGTTCTGCTTCTCCCCAAACCGGGACGAAATCTATCAACCGCCAAGGGCTGGCGACCGATTTCGCTGCTTTCGAGTTAAGGCAAAGGTCTTGAACGTTTAGTTGGCAAGAGAATGGCATGGCTGATAAGTCACCAAGTGGTTCACCTTCAATTAATCGGCTCCATACCAGGACGATCTGCAATCGTCCTTGCATCCTGTGTAATCCATGATGCTGAGGCGGCCACGAGAAGTGGTAAATATGCGGCTATGGTCACATTTGATATTCAAGGTGCTTTTGACGCAGTCATTCACAACCGACTGCTCAAACGCTTTCGAGAACAAGGCTGACCACTATCCTTATTCCAGTTCATTCAGACTTTTCTTTGCCAAAGAAAGTTGAGGGTACAATACCGCGGCGGAACTACCGAGGAAAAGATACTGGAATGTGGAGAACCTGAAGGCTCGTCACTATCGCCATTACTCTTTATGCTATATGTCGCAGTGCTATTTCAGGACCATAGTCTCACGAGCAGGTTTGGTTATGCTGATGATTTGGCCATCATCAGAATTGGAAAAACCGCGGCTGAAGCTATCTCCGCAGTACAAGACGACGTCGGCAGCCTCATCCTTCTCGCAAGAGAACACAGGATCGATTTTGACCCACCAAAGCCAGAACTTCTAGTAACCGGAAGAGGATCTAGAAGGAAAATCATCACGGTTAGCCTTTCCATCATGGTGAGGGATCGTCGAATCAAACCATCACCGCATATCCGGTGGCTAGGAGTCTGGCTTGATACCCAGCTGAACTTCAAGCAACATGTACAGGAATAGACTGGAAAAGCTAACCGACTAGTCCACTTCTAATGACATATAAACGGAGTTCAACGCGGTGCAGCTCCCGGACCTCTAATTTGTGCAGTACTGGCATGCGTTCTGAGTATGGATCTATATGGGGCAGAAGCGTGGTGGCCGGGTCTCACTCGAATAACCACACTACGAGATAAGGAAGTCGGCACTGGGGTAGGCTGGCATATATCTCTACTGGACAAAACGATAATGAAAGCTATCCGAGTATCACTCCTAGCGTGGCGTAGCGCTCCTGGTATCGCCCTTTACCGTGAAGCGGGAGTACCCCCGGCATCCATCATTCTCCAGCAAAAGACGCTGCGATCGGCAGCCCGCATACGAAGAATGGATTTGTGGCATCCTCTAGCCCTCCGGGCGGTTGAGGGCCCGTAAGATACTATCAGTCGCTTAGGTCTTCGGTTTGGACAAAGAGATCGCCTATTCAGACAGCCAGAACGATACATGACACGCCTGAAAATGAGCGTGCGTTGAGTTCCGATAGCCAAAGGCCCTGGAAAGCTACACTTTCCCCACGGCTCCCCAGCACCGACCCCATGCAGTCGAGAAAAAGAAGCTAGGTCTGGAAGCATAAAGCGATGGTTAGCTTCCCTGCTAGCCGAGACAATCTGTGCCTTCTCTGACGGATCTTCGTCGGGCCCTAGAAAATCAGCCTGGGGATATGTAGTATACCAAAGAGGCAAGCTAGTTGGGAGTGGTTCCAGCCCGCTTCCCGGAGCAGAGGTATTCGACGCGGAGATTGTAGGCGCCACGAAAGCCTTGGAAGCTGCACTAACGGCGGGAGAAAACCTACCGATTCGCATTATTCTGGACAATCAAGCGGCCGCTCGGGCGCTCGAAAGAGGAAGCTCTAGTTCCTCGCAGGCGGTGGTGGACAAGTTTTCACAGCTGATACAAAACAAGCGTGTGGAAATACGCTGGATACCCGGTCATATGGGGATTCAAGGCAATGAAGAGGCCGATAAGCTGGCCAAATCAGCCTTGGGAGCTCCCAATAACCAGTCACTAACCTCAGCTATGCCCAGTGGAGAAGATCAAGATCTAACCTTTGCGGCATTAGGGAGGTGGGTTAAACTGCGCAGCCAAGAACTTGTGGAAGAGTGGTGGCAGAAGTTTCGGCCGGAAGGATGCAAAGATCTGAACCTCTTTATGCGCTGCAAATAGCCACCGGAACTGGCTTTACCAAGATGGGCGTACCACCGTTTAATTGCGGCAAGAACTGGCCACGGGGACTACGCCGACTACCATCGACGTTTCAACCCCGAACATGAAGATCTGAAATGCTTTTGCGGCCCAGAGAAAAGGCCCTGGTATTTTTCAGAGTGCCGTCCTGTTTTGCTACGTTGGAGAATCTATGAGAAAATGGCCCCACCTGGGGCCAGGGAAATGATAAGGTAGAAGGGATGGCGGAAGTTCATCAAATTCTTAACCACTAGCAGATGTTACAGTCTGCCGAAGAATGAACAGTGTGGGAGGTGACCACGCTGAGGTTGTTTCTGACCCGAGAGTAGATGGGTGTGGAAGATAGGGATGCGGCGCAGGGCACCGTAACTCAGACATATACTGTTCAATTTTATTTCTTTTATCACTTCTGGCTTTAATGCTGATCATGTAGGTAGCAATAAGCCCTCATAGCTCATCTACTACCCGTATCACGTCTAAATAGATGTTAGGTTAGTCCTGTCACGTTAAATATTTCAATTTCAATTTTCCTATTCCACAAAATTCACGCGCCACTCATCATTAACATACGTGAGCATTCATAAAAATTCGTCCGAGGGCATTACCGACAAATAAAACCTGACCTCACTAAAGCAACGCAACATCTCAATCCAACTATTACAATAACGCCGACGCTTTTCGTGGCCTGATCGTTAGGCAACATGCAAATCGAAACAACCGAGGAATGGCTCGAAACTCCGTGAATGTGAATATTCCGGCCACAGAACAGTTAAAAAGTCACTGAATATCAAACGCACTAGGCCTTAACCAGGCTATCCAAAAGATTTTCGTCAAAACGCTTGCATACTAAAGCTCCAATTCGCTTTGAAATTTTGGTTTTTCTAAATCGACGCGGTGCCCGTATTTCGGGAGCCTAAATAATCGCTATTCCCGAGCAGTTGAAAATAAAGATTTGGAACGAATTTTGGCGCCAAAGTAGTAGAAAAGTATGGATACCGGCACAAGCACTAACGCAATGCAGCCTAGGATAGTGGCGGTCCAGTTGATTCCCAATGACTTGAACATGCTATCGAAGAAGAGAGGGAAGACCGCGCCTGCCAGAGAGCGGAACATCATACTAGCAGCTATAACCGAAGCAGCGGTATCAAGATAAGCGTCGACGAGGTAGTTGATAACCTGTATCAATATCACTAGGATTCCAAAGCCAGTGAAGATGCCAGAGAGCGTAGGTACAATCCAATGAATGGATGGATTGTAACCTGTCCACCCAAACCAAAAGATCCCGCACGCAAATGCGACGCCGCCAGTAATCATTAAGGGTAGGCGCCATTCGGGTATGGGGACATCATCGTTAGCGGCAAGCTTACGACCGTAAGAAGGTTGGAGGAGAAGTAGGTATAGACATGCCAATACGATACCAACAGCCATTCCTAGGTTTGGGAGTCCACTGATTCCGAGCGGTAGGCGATAAATCTCCGCAAAGACGGCAGAGTAGGATCCTATCGATAGAAAGAGCAATCCAAACGCAAAAGAAGAATAAAGCGACATGAGCAAAACTATTGGCTCTGTGAAGAGTAAGCGAAGTGGTCGGCAAAAGTTTTTCATAATGAGGCTTTGTAGACTGAAATCTAACATCTCGTGTTCGGCATGAACAGCCCAATTTTTAGTCAGGCTGCGAATTTTGACAGCTTTTGTAACCAGAATTGTCTGTGCATAAGTTTCCTCGAGAAAAAAATAATTCAGCAGGAACGCGATAAAGCCTAAAGCTGTTACGAGCCACTGAATCCATCTCCACTCATGAGAGCTCTGCACGATGAAGCCGCCGATGCAAGGCGCAATGACTGGGCCAATAAATACAACTGTACTTAGTATGGTGATGGCGAGCCCCCGCGTTTTATTATCGAACATATCGGAGAACACAGCTGCAGTGATGGTTATGGGAGCCGCTCCAAAAACTCCTGGAAAAATCAGCACCATGAATATTATTTTGAGATTCGGGAAGAACTAACCTCCCAAGAAACGACAAATTAAAATTGTCTTAATATCGTCGGCCACTCCAACACCAATTTGAAATATAGTAAAGCCTAGCATAGACAAGACTATAGGCATCTTTCTTCCCTTGAGCTCACTTAAGGGACCCCAAAAAGTCGGAGCAAAGGCGAATCCCATAATATACAGTGATAAACCGAGCAGGCCTAGCTTTTCCGACACTTTAAATTCGTGCGAGATAAAAGGGCTCGCTGTGGAAAATAAAGAAGATGTGAAGACTGTCAATACGTTTGTGAATCCGAGCACCATTGACAAAAAGAATCTTTCCACGTTATTAGCTTAGCATACAAGCATGGCGATATTCCTTACTTTCTTCTCAGGGGCCAATTTTTAGCATTTGTAGGATCATCCAGGCCATTGAATTCCACGACATAGTCTGACCGAGGTTCTATCAGCTTCGGACACAGCTTATTCAGGCCCATTTTTGGTGTATTGGTATCTCCATTTGTTGGGACGGTGTGATGTTGACCGTTCGAATTTTCTCTCTTTTTATTGGTTCTTAGATGAAGAGAATCAGCGCTCGAATGACTTGAGACACGCAAGGTTGAAGTCTCTGAGTTGTAGGACGAATCGAGATAAACATCTAGTTTATTTTCGTATTTTGCTTCGAATTTGTCCTGAGCACTATTCGCAGGCATGGTGTCGAAATATGTCAAGCTATCTTGCTTGCAATGGCTGTGTAGAAGCGAGGAAGAGGTAGAAAGTGAATGATTATCAGAGAGTTTTGGGATAGAACTCTAGAGCTGATAAGGAAAATGATATTGGCTTTGAAATGAGTTTAGTTATCTTTATACCATCAAAGGTGGTTCTCTCTGAGCCCTTGGACTGAAGAGGTGATAATGTGGAGATAGGTATCGGAAAAGCGTGAGGTTTAATTCACTAGCTGCACAAAGTTGTATGCCATGAACGATTAGTTAACTCTAATGATGTTTCTGACTCGTCTTGTTCTACAAGAAAAGTATTGGGTCAAGCTTTCGCCATACTTGCACATTGAGCAACATAATGTTTGCTATCCCTGAGATCGAGCCACCCTGCACAAACTAATGCCTGTAAATATGCATGGGCCTAATTTTCAGCTATTGGGACTGTTTTATTTGCGCGTTCCTGGTCAGAGTAGGTGGAAGCCTGAAGTTTTGTAAATAACAATGAAGATGCTTCGTCAGAGTGTGGCGTTGAGAACCAGGGTCTGAGTCCATGTCATGATGCCCCTGTCTGAAGATGGTTTTTTGCGAATTATACTTCCAGGAGTGCACCCTTGGGCGATCTCAGACTTGAAAAGCTTATATTTATCCACTCGGAGTTGGCCGTAGGGCGCGATATATGCTTGCTACCAGCTAAACATGCTTGATCCATGGTGTCTGAATACGAGAGATGATAGCGTGATCAAATTATGGAGCCCAGAGATATGTGCTTCATCTAGGACAATGACTTTTGCCCGTGCCTGGTGAAGATGTACTCGGGAATAATTATTCGTTGTTGAAACAGCTCAAGGAATAGGAGTATACGATGGAGACTAAATGTCTTGACATCAGAGGATTTCCTCTCGGCAGCCATGTTTTGATAGACCCGGAGAGGCGTAATCAACGTGAGGTCCCGCGTAAGTACGAAAAAATGACTAGATTTGCGGATCGGATTAAAAAGAAGAGAGACAATACGACTAATCTCACTGAATCCAAGCAATTGCAGAAGAATGGTGACAGTAGGCCTTGATCAGCATCGCGAATGCCGAGAGGCTCAGATAGCAACTGAATGCATAAACCAGGGTAGCCACCCACCAAGGGTGGGCATCTAAGAGGATTGAGAAGGGTCTCATCGCTTCGAATATTTTAAGATTCAACCGCATCATCGCAAATATTATCCGATACTACAGGGATTGAACCCATTATTGTTGGGTCCTCTCGGACGTAGGTCGGCTGTTTCGCGCTAGCAAAGGTATGCCACGGTAGCATTTTCGGATTGAATTCAGGATAAGACTTTCCCGAGATTCATGTATTAAGTACAGTCTCTTATGGATAGAAATTGTACAATTTTCAAAACGACTGGGGTTGGATCCCTAAATATATTGATTTGATTGGTTTGGTCTTCATGCAGGCCCATGTCTAGTTCGTCGACTAGTTATGCAAGCAGGAGTACTATCCAACGATATTCCGTGAAAATCAAAATTAATGGGGACGGTTTTCAACTCTAACAGAAATGTACAATGGTCCTCATTCAAAATTAAAAATTAGAAAAATCAATTGATATTATCTAAAAATACAAATCTATTTCAAAAATTATTGCTCTGTATTGCAAAGGTATACATCGATGCCCTCAGTGTGGCTCGCAACTAAAATGAAAGCGTACTAGATGTTTTGTATTAGTCTGCTCCATCCTAATACTTTGTATACCCTCCATTTGCCTCTATCACTGCTACACATCTTTCGTGCATGTTAACCGCACTTAACGGAAGCATCTTCCGAGCGATTCATCCTCTGTAAGCTCTTTTTTTGAGTGCATTAGAAATTAAACCCTCTCTGCATCCCCAGTGGCTGAAGGGTCCCATCGCTAGTATCAAATAGCACATCTGTCAATTTTCAGGAGATTCCCGGACGAAAGCCGCAAGCTCATCAGCTTGTTCCGCGCTTAACTTTAGTGAGCTTTCTTTGCGAGGTGTAAGATTCTCAGTCTCTCGAACATATGCAAATTGCACTTGCCCTATTGCGAAGCCAAGTTTGTCGGATATATTTTGTAATGTCAAGCCAAGTCTTCTTATTGTTCTAAATTCAATAAATTGACCGCGAGTTAGATGCTTGCAAACTTTGGTTACTGAAGCAGACTTTTCGCGAGACATTGTTAGCTAGAATAGAGGATGAATTGATAGTGATGTTAGGAATCAGGGTCTTTTTTTTTGTTCATTAACGTGCTCGGTTAAGTGACTACCGTTGCACTCCTACTGGAGCTTAAGCACGAATAGGGCCGGGCCAGATCAGGTTAACTACAGTGGAGTACATATACACCTCGTCCCACCTAAATGACCGGATCATCTCAGACTTCATCTATGTGTTGAATCATACCAAGTCTGAAAGTCCAGAAACCCGTCGTTGACACGCCGTAGCGCAATATCCTCCTCAGCCTCATTGACTCCGAAATATAATTTCCGTCCAAGATCTCATCGTTACTCTAGTCTTGCAACTTCATATCGTACAGTCGGGTTGTTGTCGTCATTGGGGATCTATGTGATCTCCTCGGTACAAGTTCCCTTTTTTTCCTACCTTTAACTTGTCCTATTTCCATCATGACTTACCTAATTAAAGCGTGCGTAGGTAGGTGATATGACGAGTATGGAGGTAGGTCGCCGGTGTAAGATCGACTGAGAAATGCTTCGTCACAAATTTACAAGAAGTTTGAGAGATGTCGGATTTTTGAATACGATCCCCAGATAGACCTGAGCCAATTCCTGAATCGTATGTTGGTGGTGATGAGTTCTTGTTCGACTTTGTTGCGGTTGTGAAATCTTTGCCGACTGATTTTTCAACCAAAATATCGAGTGCAACCCCTTCAAGCCGAAAATCCATCAAAAAAAATTCATCCCACCCTTCTTCGTGACTGATTCTCAGCTCTGGGAGAGTATTTCACTCTCAGGTTCGTAGAGGACACCACTGACAGGTGTTCAGCCGTCGACCTCCGAATCAGAGGCTTTGTTGGTTAAGCAGTCAAAGGTGTCGTTAAAAATGTATTTTTCCAACCAAATGTTTGAAAAAGACGATTGGACCATACTTCATGGCGAGCGGGGTAATGAGGAGTGACAGTCTAACCTATTACGAGCTAGCCCAAATGCGCCTACAGGGCTAATCCCTTAAACAGCCCAGTTTCAAGCTTTACGTTTCGGATCCTAGGGACACAGTAGACAAGACACTGATTATATGCTTAACTAGCTGATTGAGTATAAATTAAATGAAAAGCAAAGAGAGCGTTGGAAGGTAAAGCTTATCTTATCGGACGACCGGGCCTGTGTCTTCCTAATTTTCAGAATTCCGGGTATCGCGAGGCAATTAGACCCTCAACCAATTAAACGCCTGATACAGCGGATTCTGAATATGGAATATTGATAACATATATATTTTTAAAATAATAACTAATTTGTATCAAATAGTGTTAAATTACAGCTCGATGTGGTCTGTGCGGAAGGTGCCTGGATACATGAAAGGCACCTACTTTAGATCCACAGGCCTGTGATCTAAATTAAGGCACGGATGTGCTAGAACGATCTCGTGCTCCTATCATGTTCCATCTGGGCTCCATAATATATGCATGAGCCCCTGTCGCTGATGCTAGAGCGAGGAACAACTGTCAGGGCCCAGTCCAGGGTTTGACGAAATGTGATTTAGACGAGTCCATATTGCTGGCATCAGATCTGCATCATTGGCAACTAAGCGATAGCGAGGATGTGGGCCAGCTCCAGTGTTAAGGAATTGATGCGTGATGATGGGTCTATCTGAATAGTCACGTGCGAATTGCTAGTCTAAAGGAGAGAAGGGGCGACAGGATGCGGAGAAATAAATAAAACTCTTCGGCTCGACTGCTTGAAGAAACTAAGGTATGCAGTTTCAGACGGAAAGATGGCTGCAGTCGTTGCATCACTCTGCCGGCCATCTACAGAGCCCCACACCTATTGCGGACAATATTTCACTAGTTCATGTTGCCATCTACTCATTAGTTTGTTTGCGCTGCCATGAAAACTTGCCACTTGCGCCTCTGCTACTTGGGCCATAGAAGGTCGAGGAAACTCGGAGAGACGAACATCGCAGAACTGTCACGGTTTCAGTACAAAATGCTTGGGCGATCTTGTAAGTACAGTATATTAATTATAATTCTCTAGAGAGAGAATTCCTATAGCTAGAATACAAATATATATACACTCTGAGATACTCCTCTTCTGTAAGGTTCTCCCTATATCTGGAATAACATGGAATCCTCGACAATACCCTAGAAGATTCTTGATACACCTGTGGTCCTCATGAACCTTCAGTATGCTTCCAGAAAGTTCATTGAGAATCTTCTAAGCTCCTTGTATTCCGAGATCCTTCCCGAAGATTCCCTTGCATTCATTGCCTGCGCTAGCCAGCGTAGGCTACAGGAATCCCTAGGCTTAACAGCCGTTACAAGAACACTTACTTGGGAATGAAGATTCTTGGGTCTGGTTCAGGTCTTTGGGAATCGCACGAGTCCCGTAGAGCTGCGCATCATTACTTGAAAACCGCGTCTCAGCCACGATTATAGCTAACCTCTGATCGACATGCAGGCTCTGGGCAGTGACGACGTCGATTAAAATCGAGTCAACGTTACTATTATTTGTGCATCTCGTTCCGGATTTTTGGGGGGCGGGGCTATTCACAACAGCTGTCGGTGGTGTCCCCTACGAACCTCCAGCTCTCATTGTAAAGTCTGCAGAGCCGAAATTGAGTGACAAAGTCCTCACTTCGATGGGGATTCCCAATTGCTTACGCCGTCTGTATCGTCTTCATCTCTCAACACATTCCCCTTTCACAATTATAATGAAGCTAACTACGATCAGATTAGATGGTAGGGTCGAAGTCCTACTCATCACCAACCCTTGATCATGGAGGAGAAGCCATCCGATGAGTTTCCGGAGCGTACC